GGAAGCCGAACTCCAGGACCCCAGCCTAGATCCAGGCCTCCGCCAAACGGCAAATGACACTTTCCTCTATAGTGCTGCCATGACATAAATGAAGTCTTTTTTGTTTCTGTTTTTCTAGTTTCACCTGCCTCTGCTGGGAATTAAGGCGAGTACCACCACACACAGTAAAAGTCTTATATCTGGGCAGCGTTTTTCTTATCAAGAAACAAGTGACCAGAGATAAATAGTGCCATCCCATATATGGATTTAAGGTTCATGTCGAGGGAGTGGGATTCCTTAGACTATTGAGGAAACAATGATAATTTCAGTCTTTGTTCACACTTTTCTGATGGGTATTTACAATCATGCAAGTGGCCAAAATTAATCATGTCCTCTTTACCGTCAAGGCCAGTTGAGAAACTAGTCCCGGGGGTCACTTGGGCTGCAGAGGAACCTCTAGCTTTCCTTTCACCAGTTGTTCCACTTATGTGAGAAGGACTCACAGGTTTTGCTTGACCGTAGCTTAGAAGTGTGGAGAACATTTTCCTGTATGTTGTTGAGCTCCTTGTAGACTGGATACTGGTTAGAGGTCACTAGGTGGGGCCCTCATGGCCTCTTTGAGCAAGAAAACAGGTGACTCTCCATAGTTACTGGGCATTTAGAGATATCCCATATTTCCTTGGGCCCTAGTTGACCTTGGGGGGCAAGAAGAAAATATTCTCCCTCTAACCACATCAAAAACTTATTTTTGATGTGGGTTATTGAATACCCAGAAGGTCAGTTACACCAGTCTGGTACCTTCAGCTACTCTGTAGTATTTAGGTAAAGCTGAGGCAAATCCCCAAACGTCAAAAAATATGCTTTGAGCCGGGTGGTGGTGGTAGATGCCTTTAATTCCTGCAGTCAGGAAGCAGAGGCAGGTGGATCTCTGTGAGTTCAAGGCCAGCCTGGTCTCCAGAGTGAGTTCCAGGACAGCCAGGGCTACACAGAGAAACCAAATACACACAGCCACAGCCTCCCCCCACCACATTTTGAGTGGAGCCAGAAGATGGATCAGAAGTTAAAAGTACTTGTTGCTTTTGCTGAGTTCAAGTCCCAGGATTGACACAGTCATTTGCAAGCAAGCATATCAGGCATGCTTCATGGAAATACTTATACATGGAAAAAAATAAAACAAATCTTCAAAAATATATACTTTGATTAGACATTAAGCAGAGTATTGTCATTAATACAGTGAGCTTTGACCTTAGAAGATTTAATGTCATCTTACATAAAGTCTCATCTCCTAGACACTTTCATGTGACTTGTTCAAACCCTGTAGCTTGCTTAAGCTTTTCAGCTTTTTTCCCCTGAAAGCAAACAAAGGAACCATACCTAGCCATGTCAATCTTTATCAATAACCAACAAGCCAAGCTGTGATATTCCTCATAACCATGCTTTGGGTCCTGAATAAATGCAAGCAGCAAGGAAAAGCACCAATGAATAGTAAAGCATTGTCATGCTGATGTTAACAACATTCAGAAAAACTCAGCTCAGGACATCTTGTGAAAACTCTCATGTTTGGGGCTGGAGAGCTGGCTCAGTGGTTAAGAGCACTTGCTGCTCTTGCAGAGGGCCTGGGTTAGGTTCCAGGACACACATAAGGTTGCTCAGAAACATTTGTAACTCTAGTTCCCGGAAATCTAACATCCTCTTCTGGCCTCCCTGGACACCAGACATGCAAATGATACACATAAAATACATGCAGGCACTTACACACATAAAAATAGAACTCTTTTAAAACTGGTGCCAGAGCTAAAGAACTTAGAAAGGGATGACATCACCTTGTTCCTTTTCCTTACCCTTTCCATGCTGGGTATGACTGCATAGAAAACTGAAAGCTGTAAAGGGCAAAAGGCCTTGTGCACAAAGATTAGCACTGGAGAGTCTAGGAAGGTTAAACACACAGCTCACCTCTTCAGTGGCGTGAGAGTGGGCTGCTCTTCCTGGAACGCCAAGAATGATGTAGGTTTACGACCTGGTGATCCTTTCCTGACTGAGGGGACAAAGCTGTCCCCATATCCCCCAGAATTTTTGTCTTACTTATCCCAGACCATTTCTCCTTAAATTTTGAGAATTCCTTTTAGGACATAAAATCCATTCTTATGAATGACGTCACTGTGCTTTACAACAGTCTAAGTGACTTCTATGTTATCTTAGGGCCAGGCCAAAACCTGGCACCCACAGACATTGACACCTCAGTCAAGCACCCTAGACCCTAGGCACTCTGAGTTAACAGTACCCATTTTTGTGAAAGAAGCCAGTTATACTTTGTAAAGAATCTCAATGTAAACATGTCTTAGTGCACTTGGGACTGAGTTAGTTAATTATTACCTGAACACCTTTTTCCAAAACTGTGCTGGGCTTAAATATGGCTAAAGTAAAATGATCTGGGCCAGACTCTAGAAGTACTGCAGCACTCGTTACAATAAAACTGGCCAAGCTGAGTTTCATTCTTACCTTACCCCGCAGCCTGCTGTAAAGCCTGCATCGGAATCACCATATAAAGCAAGTACTTAATGGGGCAGAAATAGAAACATGTAACAGACATGGAGCACAGGAGCGTTGAGAAGGGAAAGTGTAATGGAAGTTTTGGTTTCTTTAAAAACTCAGTTATGTTATGTAAAATTGCTTTTGTTTTAATCCCAAATGTGGGATATGGGACTGTCTTAGTTTGCCCACAGCTGATAATTGTCTTGTGTGGCTCAGAGAGGGGTGTGGTCTTTGCCAGCTGGAGTTAGTTTAATTCTGAGGATTCTAAGAGGATATAAATACCAGAGAAAGGAAAATCTGCCTCGGGGACACTGTTGGAGGAGAAAGAAAGCTGCTGGTCCATTGGACTGTTGGATATCTTGACAATTGAGATTGGTATTGCCCCCAAAGAACTAGATGGCCCTAACTATCCAGAACTAAGTCTAAAGAAATCTATGTCTTTTTCCCCTTCTAATCTTCTTTCTGTCTTACTTAGGGTCAGGGGCTTAGAAGAGAAGTAGAGAGGCCTAGGAAACCAAAATAAAATAGAGTTGAAAATAACACCCACAGGAAAGCATACTTTATCTCAGAGAAAAACAGGCTTGGAGATACCAGGCAGAAAGCAGGCATTAAGACCCAACATAGCCCACAGCTACAGCCTCACACTCAAGGAGGCTGATTTCTCTGCGCTCCAGCTGTTGTCACTGCCTACTGGCAGCTGCCTACCTAATACCTGGCAATCTATTCACTTGGGTACTGTTTGAGTTCTGTATTTTTCCAAGTGTTCCCTGGGCTGCTGCTTATTCACATGAACTTTCAAGGCCAGCCATTTCAAAGCGTTAGCTCCTTCTGATACATTGCTACTGTTGGGGGGGGGGGGGCGCATGACTGTGAAACTTTAAGTGTAACCCTTCCCCCCAGAAACCAGGAAACATATAAAACAACGTGTCAAAATTAAAACAAAACAAAACAATCTACTATGGAGGTCTGGCATTACTTCCTTATACTGATATAAAAATGCATTTACCTTATTTATCACTTAGCAATATAGCCCATGTTGCAGTCTCCCATGGATTTCCATTTCCATGATCCCAGAAGGCGAAACAAACAAACCAACAAACCAAAACAACAAAATCCAAACCAAAAACTGAAACAACAACAAAAGCGGAAAGAAGAGGCCTGGGAAAGGAGACTGGATACTCTGGTGTAGGACATTCTGGAGGTGTTCCAGCTCAGCCTGGTTTACATAGAGAATTCCAGGCCAACCAAGGCTACACAGTGAGTCACCGTCTCAAAAAAATTAGAAGGCCACTGGAGGGTTTGGAGAGAAGAGAGCCAGGGGATGGAATATGTAGTCTTTTAATAAAAGTAATATTTAAAAAGACAGAAACTCCACAGGCTGCTGAGGGTGGCAGTGCAGGTGTGTATCCCTCACAACTGATGTTTAGAAAGTTTTTTGTGTATATATAAATGGAAGTTTTTTTGTTTGTGTATATATATGGAAGTTTTTTGTATATATATGATCACACACACGTATATATGACCTTGTGGCTTTCTAAGTTATATTTCTCAAAGGATGTAATTTATAGTAAGGTTTAAAGATTAAGCAAAGCTTAAAATTTAAATAACATTTAAAAATTAAGTATAATATATTATCTGGTTTACTTACTCTTCTTAATGAAGTTCTATTTGTAAATGAACTTCTAAGATGGTTCTATGAGGTATATTGCTCAGATTTAGGGTGGAGAGGAGTGCTAATATGGTAAAATTAAAAATTACAGACATTTTGGCCCTAAGCAAGCATACTTTCTTTGTTGCCTTAATACGTTTTATTAGAAACGGGTTCTCATTCTGTAGCTCTGGCTGGGAGATCACACTGGCCTCGAACTCAGGAAGACTGCCTGCCTTTGCCTCGGGATGCTGTATTGCAGAGGTGTACTGCCATGTGCTTATGATTTGTTTTTGAATTTTTTTTTTAACATTTTAGTTTGAGATGTCTTTACGAAAACACGCTCTCTCTGTAGGCAATTTTTGGCGTTATCAGTTGTGTTCACATTTTAAAGTTTTCATCAGAAAGTCTCAGGGTGAGAGGGCTCTTCTTCACGTCTTCATTTTTCCTGTCTTTCTAGTCCGCCTCACTATCAACCATTAGAGTTTAGCATGGTGCCCAAATAATAAAAATAAAAGCCTAAAGACTGTCGTGGCTGAGCGGGGTTGACAGGCTGGTTCCCAGATCTGGAAGCTTATCAAGAGGGCAGGAAGGAAAGGTTTGTGAGTCTCCTGAGACCCCGTCCTTCCCGGCCTGTGTTTTCAACTCCGCTCGGGACTGGTCTTCGGAAAGGCCGTTCTCGCTCAGAAATCTTGCTTAAACCTCACTCTCGTCCTTTGCCCCAGTTTCTAACGTCCGCTTCGGAATCAATCGGCCCGCAGATCCCGGGAACGGAAATTCCTGTCCGGAACGAGTCCGACTCGGAGAGCGGAAGTGAACCGCAGCCCGCCTCCGTCTCTTCCGGTGTGGCTTCGCGCGGCCCGTCCTCTGTTCTCCGCGGGAGCAGGCTGGCTGGGCGGCTTCTGGTGAGGACGGGTGAGGGGATGGACGCTGGCGGAGGCGGGGAGTGAGGCCCGCGAGTGGCCGCCGCGGAGACCCCGCTCGCCGGGCCGCGCGTCTCGGCCGGGCCTGCCTCTCAGCGGCTCGGGCTCTACGGTCCTCGGGTCCCTGCCGGGGGCCATTTCGCTTAAATGTTACTTGAGCTCCCTGAGTCTTCGAATATAGGCCTTACTTCCTCGAACGCCTTTAAGGTAGTCTTACAAAATTTTTGCTTTTCCAGAAGGAAAAGTATTTCCGCCGTTGGAGTCCGGCTTGGCCCCCCCATCACCCCACGGACCTGGCCATCCCAGCGCTTTCTGGTGAGCAGTGGGTGGAATTTGATGGAACAGGAAAAGCCGCAGGGTGAGGGGCTTCTTTGTAATGTCTTCTTTCCCCTGTCTTTCTAGCCTGTCTCCTTATGAACAATTAGAATTTAGCATCCTTCCCTTTTGGAAACAAATGTGTTCATTTGTTTGAGTTCTGTTTTGTTTTCTACTTGTCAGCCTCCATTGTGGCTTGTTACATTTAGGCAAAAAGAGAAAGTGTGTTTAAATGCCAGGCTCTGCATATTCGTGCGTTTTGCAGACCACAGATCATCTCTTGCCCCTTCCCTTCATCCTAACAAAGTGTTCACAAGTGAAAAATAGGGAAGTTGGCACCGAAGAAAGGCTCACGAAAAACTGGAACTTCGGGCTGGAGAGATGGCTTAGTGGCTAAGAGCCCGTGGCACTTCCACAGGATCCGATTTTGGTTCCCACGAGCCATGTTAGTGGCTCTTAACAGCCTGTAACTCCAGCTAAGAAGGGATGGGGAGACCAGAGGCTCCATGCACCTGCAGTCATGTGGCACACATTAACAGACACGCGCACACACACGAGAATAAATAGGTGGGACTCTTATGGAATGGACGAGGCGTCATTTTTCTAAATTAGTACAATATTTGAACATAATTATTTCCTCTGGGGTGAGGGAATTTTTAGGAAAACTTACAGTCATTACCTTATGTGTAATTGCAGGAAAACAATGGGTTTTATTATGTGTTCATACATGCACATTGTGTATTTTGATCTTATACTCTGTTGCCTCTTCCCGTCCTCCCCTTTGTCAATTAGTCCCTCACGTTTTTGTTTATTGGGCAGAGAGATGGCTCTGTTTTTAGAGCACTTGTTGCTCCTGCAGATGACTGGGTTTGATTCCCAACGCTATGTGGTGGCTCACAATCATCTGTAATTCTGGTGTCAGAGGACTGGACACCCTCTTTTGTCCTGTAGAGGCACCAGCGCCCAGATGGTACACAAATGTTTAAAATTAAAAAAAAAAAAAAAAAAAAAAGCTGGCCTCTACCTCACAGCCTCTGCCTTTATGCGTGGTGGGAACAAAGGTGTGTGCCACTGTGCCTGAGCTTCCATACCCGGCTTTGTGTTACTAGTTTTTAAAATAATCCCATTAAGGTCAATTTGTGCTGCACATTATTTTAGGATGTGTGGACTTCCACTGGGCTAAGTTTGACCTACCTGGGGCCACACCCTGTGAGAAATATTACTTTCTCTAAGCAGCCATCAATTGAAAATAACTTCTTAGCTGGGGTGGTATTTAAAGTTTGAGTTTATCATCTCCCTCTCCAGGCTGGAATTTTGTCTGGCTTGAGCTAGTATAGGTCTACATGCTCTTGTAACTGCTCTTGAGTTTGTATTTGCAACTTTCTGACGTGGAAAATACTGTTTCTTTGTAGTCATCTACTACCTGTCTCAGTATCTTTCTTACTACTCTTCTACTGTTATCCCTGGGCTTTGGGAGGAGGGATATTCTCTGTCTCTCTCTGCACACACCTTTGTTCCCACCACTCACAAAGACAGAGGCTGTGAGGTAGAGGCCGGCTTTTTTTTTTTTAAATTTAAAACATTTGCCTACATGTACATACATATACACACACACACACACACACATGCACACGTACATATGCATACACACACACATATATATATATATATATATATATATATATATATATATATATTCCATTTAGGACTGAATGACTCAATCCCTTACTCTCTATACTTAGACTAGTTGTGGATCTCCCATTTTAATACCAATCTAGTGCAAGAAGAAACTTCTGATTAGAGTTGAGAGAGACATTAATCTATGGGTATGATGACAAGTTATTAGGAATTTGTTTAATAATATATCTTTAGCAGAACAGTAATAGCAAGTTCTGCCTTAGGGCTTGTCATGTTTCACAGATTCTAGTGATTATATTATACTGTACAGATGCTACAGATTTCAGATATGGTTTTATAAGTATATTTAATATTGAACATAGTTTGAATAAGCAGAACAATAACTCAAATTTACAATGTGGTCACTAAAGTTAGTAGAACTTTCCAGAATTAAAATGTGTGAAAATGGTTCTTGAGAGTTTTTGTGAGCATTTTCACTTTTTCTTGTAATTTTGACGAACTGTTTTTCTGATTCCCATAATACAGGAGATACATGTGGGTAATATCCGTATTTTCACGTACAAGAGGAAAATCTATTGCTTACATATTTTAATTGAAAAGTTTTTTTCACACAATACATTCTGATCATATTCTCCTCTTCGCAAGTTCCTTTCAAATTCTCCCTACCTTTCTACCCACCCAACTTTATGTTTTCTCTCACTTTCTCTTTAAAACAAGGTGTGTCCAAACACACATACACACACTACTCCACAAAACCAGAATCAAGATAAACAAGTAAAAGACTAATAAGAGAGAAAGAAAAAAAAAAAAAAAAAAGGCCCAAGCAAAGCAAAATAAGACAGTCTAGAAAAATGCTGTTCATTTTGTGTTAGCCAACTACTGTTGGGTATGGGGCCTGCCCTGTAGTCTGGTTAAGATTCTCGGTGAGACTCCACTGGAGAAAGCTGGGTTTTCTTTCCTTTGTCGATGGTTATCAACTGCAGGTCGTTGTTTTGGTTGGAAGTGGGAGCGCATAAACACTTATCCCTGGCAGGGTAGGGCCTGATCTGGCTTGAATCTGTGAGGCTGTGTTTGCGCTGCCACTGTCTCCCAGTTCATAATGTACATTGGTCCTGTTGTGACTGGAAGACACTTTTCCTTGGATTAATTCATTACCTCTGGTTCCTAGAATTCTTTTCCAAATAGATTCCTGAGCCTTGTGGTGTGGTTTTGATGAAGACATCCTATATAGGATTTAGTGGTTTGGAGTCTGTCAGTCTCTGCACATTGTCCAGTTGTGGGTGTTTGTATTGGTTCATGTGTATTGCAAGAAGAAGCTTCTTCGATGAGGCCTGAGTGCAGCACTGATCTGTGAGCATAGCAGAATGTCACTAGGATTAGTTTCATTGCTCTGTTCCTTTAACTGGATAGTAGTAATGGGTTTTCCTCTAGGCTCATGGCCCATTGAGTCTCAGGGTGTTGGCCACATTTGCAGTGCGAGATAGACTGTGTCATGGAAGGGGCCTGAAACCCAACCAGAAAGTAGTTGATTACTCCTATAACATATGGGCCACCGTTGCACATGCTGTTGTAGGTTTGCTGGGAGATACTGATAATTGCCCTTCTCTGATAGCCATCAACATAATGTTAGCCATCACATTGGTTAACATGGAGTCAACAGATCGTTTCTATAGTCTATGGAGTCAACAGATAGTTTCTAATGGAGACAGTACACAGCTTTTGGTGAGTTACAGCCATTTACATTTGTTTGAGGCTACTATTTAAAGGGGTTTAGTATTCTCTATCATTTTGTTGAGTGTTATTCTGACTCCTCCCCTCCCATTTGTATGAGGAGTTTGCTGTTTTGGATGTGATGAGTTTCTTCCTGGTTCTCCTTTGATAATGCATGTGTTCATCTTAGGCAATGTCTTTTTTTCTTGTGTTCTTGGGCATGATCCTGTCTTCTATATATTTTTTATTTTTATTTTTGCAGTGTTCACTTGTTTGTGATAAATTGTCTTGATTTATCAGTGCTTGTCTCAAAATGTTATTCCTGTTGAATTTAAGATTTAATTTTTTAGTGTTAGAGAGATGTAGGCTTAGATTTTTCAACAAACCTACTGTATTTAGGATTCTTAAACATTTCTACCTCCCTTAAAACCCAGTAACCAGAAATAGGGGGGAAAAGAAGGATATTAGGAAAGGGGGGCTGTAGACCTATTTAGAAGTAGTTCCTTGGGTTATGAGTCCACTCTTTGTTGTCTGGGTACCAGTCTAAATGTCAACACCAAACAGCAACACAAATCAGCACAATTCAGAAGATTGTTAAGAGTCAGTGAAAGCTGCAAGACTCAGTTGGATTACCCTGAGAAGTTCTCTGGAACATTTCTCTTTGCAAAGTAAAGTGTTGAAGCACAAAAACCAGCAAAGTGATGTTGATCTGAAAAGTGGTGTCTCGCTGTCCGTGGGGTTCTATGTATTTCCTCTTCCACCTACAGATGTTTTCAGCTGGCCAAATCATGCCCCTTGCACAACTCATAGCAAAACATTTCAAGTCCTCTCACAAGACAGCTTCTAGCAAAACATCACATGACACAACTGAGTCTTCAGAAACTTCTGCTTCAGAGAGATGACTCATTGGTTAAGGGGTACATTTTCAGGGGATCTGATCCTCTCCCACCCTCCTTGGTTCTAGATACACATGGTGCACATATATACAAGCAGATAAGATACTCATATACATAAAAAGAAACTAGATGAATCAGAGTTTTGTGTTTGTTTTGTTCTCTGAGACAGTGTTTCTCTTTGTAGTCCTGGCTATCTTGGAACTTGCTCCGGTCCGGTTGCCTTCGAATTTATGGAGCTCCACCTGCCTCTGCCTCCTGAGTTTCAGCTGGGATTAAAGGCATGTACCACCATGCCTGGCAGAATTATTTTAAAAAATGTTTTAAAATACAGTAATTTTGGTTGACTTATTTATATCTAGGACTTAAAATATGTCATTTTATGCTTTTTTGACTTTTTAGGGCTGTTGATGAGGTGTTATCCTAATGTTCTGTCTTTGTGTGTGAGTTACTATTACAGCTCTCTAGCCATTTTATTTCTTTTTTTATATTTCTTGAGACAGGGTTTCTCTGTGTAGCTTTGGCTTTCCTGAACTCTCTTTGTAGACCAGGGTGGCCTCGAATTCAGTGATCCGTCTGCCTCTGCCTCCCTGAGTGCTAGGATTATAGGCATTTGGCATTCAAGACCACACCTGGCTTGCTTTATTTCTTAAGACAGTGTTTCATGTAGCTCAGGTGTTGCTGTAATTAAAAAATAGCTTGTTGGGCTAGATAATGTTTATTACTATTAGCCCTAAGATTATCATGGTAGTATTATTT